AATCAATTGGTGGCAGACCTGCACAACGTTTCGCTGTCATTGATTTGCATGAATGGGTTGTTTCCGTACAACAGAATGTATAAAATACAACCCAAACCCCAAATATCTACTTTAGGTCCGTTGTAATGGTCACCTGCATTACAATTAAATAGGCCATGTTTAGTTTTGTCAATTAGACACCCGAAACAAACCTAAGAGTATTTCTGGTGCGGAATAGGCCAGTGATCCGCACGATGTCCTCAACATCTCTCCCTCAGCCCATTGGTTAGAAAATCCAAAGTCTATGAGTTTAACCAAAGGGTATTTGATTCTTAGGTTCAGTTGTTCTAATGGCTGGGCTATGATTAGTATGTTTTCCGGTTTGAGATCTCTGTGAACAATCTGCAGGGAATGACAGTAGGATATCGCACAACAGATCTGCAATAGAGTGGACAACACCAGAGCTAATACACAAACCATTCACTGATACACTGTATGGAGGAATACCTGACGAAAAATGTGTTTCGCTTCACTCTCTCTCAATCCGTTTCCATGATTTCGTCTCTGGATGTGATCGTAGAGATCACACACGTCTTGACCACAGTATTCTGATTCATAGGATTAATGGATCAATAGATAATGGATTAATGGATAAATATATAGTTTAATAGCATCTATGAGACGAACCCATAACCAAATATAATTTGGTTCTCGTGTCGATCACTTGATATAATTTAACCACATTTTCGTGTTCATGTTCCGACAGTCGAGACCACAAACGGATCTCAATCCCCAACTGTTGCAGACCTTCTTTGTTCAGCTTTGCTTTGTCTATGATCTTAATGGCCACCGATTCACCTGATGGACAATCAACAAAAACAAATGCTTTTTGTTAATATCTCACTAGTTATTCATCAAATCAAGAGTATGTGTCTGTTATATAAGACAATCAATAGATTAGTGTCTGTTATATAAGACAATCAATAGATTGAAAAGTGTGTCAAATAGTGTCTATGGATGTCTGTGTGGCACCTGTGAGGCAGTGTTTGGCCAGTTTGACGACAGCGAAGTGTCCCTTTCCGAGCGTTTGGGTGGTTATGTCATACAGACCGGCAGCCATCAAGTGGTCAACTGATCCGACAACTGGCTGTCAATCGGCAACAATAGTATAGCAATGAATGCACCGATTATTTCGCGAGCATTCAATCCATTGGTTTCCTATTAAACCACAACTAATGCCATCATTTCGACACCCATTCAGTCAATCATTTGTCCACAAAATAGTGATTTACTTCTGAAACCAATTGAAAACATCATTAATATATACCAAAAATCCAAGACATACCCCAATACTTACGAAACAAATGTATAATTAAATGATTAGTTTATTAATGAATAAAAAAAATTGTAATTCAAATGACACAAAATGTATATAAAAAAACAAAACTACTTTTTATACAAAACATACACAAAACATAAGTAAAAATTGCTTTTTTCGTTATTTATATTAATATATAATTTATGAAATCATTTAAATTGTAAGTGAAATTAAAATTAAAACTAATTATCCATTCAATTGAGTGAATGTGTGTCCAATTGAATGAGTCATTGGTTTACATGTTTTCGTGTGAATGAAGGGACCGATGGGTTGAGTGTGTAATTCATAAACAATTAATACATTTAAATAAATAGCAATTAATTGATGACTGAAAGTGTCATTAATAGTGAAGTGAAGCCATATTTAGTGCCGAT